GACATCTTCCAATTGTGTTCTAAGAGAGCCAGGTGTGAAATTGTCAGCAGTGCGTCACGCGAGTTGTACAAGATGCCACGCCACACTCACTCGCGAACATCCGCCAATGCCTTGATCTTCTGAGTCACGTCCTTGATCTGGTCGTCGCTCAAGGTCAGACCCAGCTGCTCTGCTCTACTCTTGACAGCGTTCCATCCCGTCAGTCTCGAGCCAATGTTGACGTATCGGGTCATGCCAAAGTCCTCCGGCCTCAGCACCTCATAAGTGCTTGGGTTGGCCAGGATAGCCTTGGCGTGAATACCGGCCTTGTGGGTGAAAGCGCAGTAGCCAGTGACATAGTTGTTGAATGGGATCTGGATTTGGACGGCATCGGCAACCAGCTCCTCCACTTGACGCAGCATCTTGAGGTTGTACTTGCCCATCACAAACTCCCTATCTTCGGTGTACATCCTGGCCATCAGCGCACCCAATGGAGTGATACCGTTTCTCTCTCCGATTCCCAGCACCGAAGTGTCGATGTGAGTTGCGCCGGCTTCCAAAGCGCAGTACGCGTTGGCGATAGCTACGGCGAACAAGCAAGAGCGGCATGTAAGTAGATGCAGCGAGATCGCAAGTCGTCATGGCTGCGCGTTTACTCACCACATCCAGTGTCGTTGTGCAAGTGAACTTCGATGTCGCAGGACACGACAGACCCTGCGTAAAAAAGATGTGAAGTCAGCCTATATGCGCTCGTAGGCGCAAGACACAAGCTTAGGCAGCAGGAGATGATACGCACTGAGCAGCTTGACGAGCTCGTAGACCTGACGAGGGTTGGCAATACCGATCGTGTCGGCGATACCAACACGGTGCACGCCAACCTTGTCGACGGCCTGGTAGATGGAAAGCAGATCGACAATGTCTGACCTGAAACTGTCCTCGGTGGAGAATCTGATCTCGATTCCCTTGCTCTTAACAAAGTCGATGACCTCGACCGCCTTCTTGGTGATGTAAGTCATATCCTTTCCGTGGCTGTACTCCCTCAAGAACTTGGACGTTCCCATGACCACATCGACACCATCCACACCGGTCTCGACGGCAATGCGGGCATCATCCATGTGGCATCGGATGTGAGTGATGACTTTGGCCTTGAGACCGAGCTTGCAGATGGCTTCGCAGTCCTTGCGGCTCTGCTCGGAGGCGGCCGGGCTGGTGAGCTCGATGCAGTCCACACCGAAGGCGTCAAGAGCCTTGGCGATCTTGATCTTGGTCTCGGTGTCAAAGAAAGCGTTGGCAAATTGCTCGCCCTCTCTCAAAGTACTTTCGATGATCTTGAAGTTGGCAACATTGGAGTTCAAGTCGCGGTTCATGAAGGGCATCAAGAACTTGGATGGGATGTTCGAGGTTGGCGCAGGCGCAGAGTTGGCTCCGCCGCTTGCGACGTTAGTTGGGATAGCCTGGTGGGTGCTGTCGACGCCATTGCTACCGTTGACATGCCTGATTGGTCCCTCGGAAGGGGCGCAGTCAGGGCAAGGGGGTGCGTCCGAGGTGGAAGGTGCCATGGCTGAAGGAGAGCGAGAGTAGGTCTATACGACGCGCTGTAAGAGGTATGAGTCTGAAGTCGCACGAGTGCAGTGATGCGCAAAGCCAGATGCTAGGTGAGTGTGAGCCTGTCTGCTTGGAGCGAGACAGTGACAATGAGCAAGAAAATGCAGGGTGGTGATGTGAGTGCGGTCGTGTGAGAAGGCGAGATCTCGATCAAGAAGGAAGTCTCCAATCACAGGGACTCGCAACTCGTGACTGCAGCACACAGCAGGCAGGCGCGCCGATCCAAGGGATCAAATTCTGGCCCCATCCATCCACGCAGCATTCACGTCTCCGAGTCACCGAGGGCCAGTACCGGCGCGCAGAGATTCACGATTCTGTATAGCAGTCGTGCAGTGGCGATCTGAAATGAAACCGCGAGCATTACAAAAGTGACGCGACCTTTAAAATCAAGTGGGGTTCAGCTTCATAAAGTGTAACCATATTGAATCCCCACCTTGCTCTTGAAAACGCGTCAAGCGCGCGTGCATGCTAAGTTACAGCAGTCAAGAGTGGACACTGCGCCAGTCTGTGCTGATGAGTCTGCCCGGCCTCTCCCGTGAAACCCGATCGAGCAAGCAGCAAGAAGCGTGAATCTCGAGTCACAGCGCGCATGACCTGCATGTGCGACTCGCGTGTCTTAGTCCCCTGAGTCAAAGGCGTTTTGTTTTATTCAACACTCGCAATTTTGAAGTTTGAATCAGCGTGCACACCAAGCATAAGCCATCCTCACCACTTCGAAAAGCACCTCGCAGCTGATGTGCGCGTGTGTCCAGGAGAAGTGGTTGGTTATATAAAAAGCAATCGATCATTAAGAACCAGCCCAGATCTGTTTATATACAGGGTTGCCCTGAACCCGGCGCCCCTTGAGACAGCAGCTGCCCATGTGTTGCCGCATATATGCGCCTGCACCATCAGGCACATGCTTCTCGCAGCTTGCTGCGTTTGCCGGATTCTCAACGCGCAGCCGCGGCCAACCGCATCCAGCCACAGCGCGGGTTTAACAAACCGGTCGGAGGCGGAGATCGGAAAAATATTCTCGAATTTGCTGCGTAGGGACACAAGTGTGAACATGCGCTGCAATTCCTTCCTGCGGGGGGCTCACAATTCACGATTGTCTGTGAATCCTTGAACGCGATCGACCTCATCCCTTACACTCAGACGTAGAGAACCCTGGGCATCGGTCAAACTTCATTGGAAAAGCCTCTCCCGCAGCCAAGTAGTGACACAGCCTGTCTCTCAGCGAGGCTCTTGGTTGTATAGCATACAGCTGGTGCATACGTTCTGCCGCGTGAAGCCGTGAAGAGCGCTGTCCGGAGAAACCTCTTTGGTCGGAGCGTTGCGAACACACGACAGCACTCACAACTGACATCGATCGCAGCTCGTGTCCAGCATCAATCAGGGCTTGGTGTGCCCAGCCATAGCCATGCACTCTCATCATTCTCACTCGGGGCAATTCTGTGCTCACGCTGAAGCAGGATGTACGCCTCGGATGATGCTGGATCGGGCCAAAGCTTTGGGATTCACGCACTACAACCTGACCGAGCACATTCCTCGCAGGAAGCAGAGTCAGCTGTATCCGGAAGAGGTAGAAGCTGGGTTGGACCCACAAAAGCTAGCTCAGCGCTTCGAAGAGTATCTCTTGGAGGCACGGAGGATACAGCAAGAGAAGGGTCGGAGCGTGCTTGTAGGAGCAGAGACAGAAAACATCCAAGCTGCAGAAGATCAGAGTTGCTTACAGAACAACACGGATTTGAGCGGCATACACGATCTCATCGCCATTCTTGAGGCGGACCACGGAACGGTACAGCTCGCCGGCAGCTCTGAGAGAAGGCCTGGCTCGGTAGGCAAGGGTCGCGTCGACTACCTTGTTGGCGGGGTTCATCACGTCGGAAGCATCCCTATCGACTTCGACGTGCCAACCTTCGAACGAGCTTTACGGGTATTTGGCTGGGATGGCGTGGCTGATCCTCACCCTTCAAGAAGCTCTTCCAAGCGACTCGCTCACTTGAGAATAGCCGCTCACTACCTCGATCAGCAGTATGACCTGTTAAAGCATGTCAGACCGGAAGTCATCGCTCATTTCGACCTTTGCAGGCTCTGGGATCACACCTTGCCCCTTGCTCTGGAGCAACATCGAGCTGCTGATGAGGCGCTCGAACTTGGGCCAAATGCAGTAGACTTATACAAGCTCGAGCAGCTGGTCGATGAGCGCACGAGACGCAATGTAGCGTTTGCGATCTCGTATGGGGCACTGTTCGAGGTGTCGGGCGCAGCGGTGCGCAAAGGATGGCCGACGCCCTACCCAGGCCTAGAGGTTTTGAAGGTAAGTCAGGCTGTCGACCTGATGCTATCCAGCCCTATGCTCACACGTTGACATCAAATCCGCCCAGCTCGTGGTCTCGCTTGGCGGCAGACTCTGCCTATCGGACGATGCTCACTCTTTGGCACAGATAGGACACTCGTTCCAGGCGGTCAAGGCGCATCTCGACAGCGTGCCAGGCGCGTGGAACTCTCTACATTACCTCACCTGGAATGAGGATGACCGGCCCGCGCTCTCGCACGAAGAAGGTCAGGCTCAGGAGTCGCAAAGAGAAGCACGAGAACGCTACTTGTTCGCGAAGGCGGTCGGCAGGGAGGTGGGCAACGGATTCGACGACCCGACCGAGATTTTCGAGAGAGGCACTCGAGCCATAAAATCATCGGGCCCAAGCACCGATGCACTGTTCTGGGTGGAGCTCGAGCAGAGGAGACAAAGGCTGGATGATGCACTCAGCTCAAAGCGAGCAGGTGGCTAATAGATGCATTGCACAAATCATGCCTTCGTTTTCATGCGTATTTCGCTACGCATAGAAGTGCGGTGCCCACTCATGGTGTGTCTTGCGTTCGGAGCAGGTGAATGTGCCGTCCGCAGGTCTGATTGGACGGAATGAGGCTCAATGAGGCGCCAGGTTCAGTTGTTGTGGATGCTCGATGACGTCGGAAGGGTGCCCAAGATCAATAAGGCGCAACATCGCCCTGGGCCGAAATGTGTTGATCTAGATCCTCGATGCAGGTTCCCAATCCTTTGCTCGGTACCAGTGTGTTGCAACGAAGCCTCTCTGCTCAGCTCTGATTCTATTGATAGCCGGGACAAACTACATCTGGATGCCAAAGTCCAGTAAACGATCGCACGACTCGTACTTTTCGGATCTGATTTTGCGTTCCAGCTCAGGTTCCGCCTGAGGAAAGCGCAGCAACGCAGTCAGGTCAGCCAGAATCATAACGCAGAGACGTGTCGCGTTCCCGCCTCTCCCGTTTCCTTCCCTTCCCCACCTAGAGACTCACTCCGATACCCAAAAATCCCCGCGTGTTCTGTATCCTCCTCATCTGATGATCCCGCCTCCTCTCGCAGTCCGAGTACAGTATGTTCTTCCACTGATTCTCCACTCGATCTTCGAAGCGTCGCAGCCCAGCACCGGCTCCCGGCGAGTTGCTAACCGAAGCCTGCACAATCGGATGCTTCTCCCAAGAGACCTTGTCGACGTGGTAAGACACTCCATGCCTAGGTGTAAATCTCTGCTCTCTCAAGTTGCCGCTCGGCGCCCATGCGAACTTGGGATCCGCGGTTTCGAACATGGACGGCAAGTAAGTGAGCAGTGAGAACAGACCGAGGATCAAGAGCGGCAAGAGTTGAAGGAGAGGCGACGCTTGCGGATCTTGCTGCTGACCCCGCCTCGCACCTGCTCGCGCATTCGTCCCTCCTCCACCCGATCTGTACACTCGAGTTCCTCCCATACCCGGTCCGCCGAATGAAAAGTGCATACCTGTGGGTGAGATGGAGCCGACGATGATAAGCCGAGCCACTGCGTCGCCCGCACGCCTCACCGACTCTAAAGACGGGACTCACCTGGACCCATGCCATTCATGCCTGCGCCTCCACCAAAGAACATATTGAAGAGGTCCTGCGGATCGATCTCAGCACCGCCGAACCCGCCATCGTACGTTCTCGTACTTCTAGCGAACGGGTGCCCGCCCATTCCGCCTCCTCCCATGCCTCCACCTCTCTGCTCCGGATCACCACCATGCCTATCGTACATTGCCTTCTTGTCTGGATCGGACAGGATCGTGAATGCTTTCGAAACAACTTTGTGTGGACGGGAGTACAGGCTCAGCTCTTGCAATGCAGGAGACATCGTCGAGAGACCCACTTTTGAATGCCTCGTCTGCTCCCGGCGCGCCATTCTTGTCAGGATGAAGCTGTAGAGCCAGCTGCGAGGGCGAGCAGCCGAATTCTCCATGTCAGCTTGGAACCTGAAAATGCAACGAGCTGCCGCAATGCCCGGATGAGGCTGGGGTGCAAACGCTCGCACCCTACCTCCAAGCAGCGTAAACGATACCTCCTCCCAGGCAGCGCGGCGCCCATTTGCTCAACTCACCTTTCTATAGCCCTTCTTGATGGCGTTCTCATCCGGCTTATCCTCCCTCTTCAATAGCAGCACCGCATAAAAGTCATTCTTTCTGCCCGCCTCGTTGACTCTCTTGACGACAGCAGCTTGCTCAGGCGTAAATTCCCTCACTTTCTCCTTCTCCTTCTCTCTCGCCCCTGCAGTGAGATTGGGCGCGGATCTAGATGAAGCTGTTGTCCGACTGCGCAGGTTGGAGCCATTGGACGTGGATGCGGACGTCGAAGGCTCCCCGTTTGCGAATGGCCCACCAGCTTCCATCTCCTTCTCTAACCGCCTAATCACCACCTCCGCTTCGCTTGTAGGTCGGATAGCATTGGACTTCTTGGCCCACTTGAGCGCACCTGCCAGGTCACCCTGCGATCGGTACTTCTGAGAGAGCTGGAGAGCTGCGAGCGCATCTTCTGATGACATGCTATGGGTCGTTGAGCACCTATAGGGCCTCCGAGAGAGCTCGAGATGCGAGGGCCCGACCGATGCTCTTTGCAAAGTCAATGTCAGCGATCTTGTGTTGCGAGGTCGAGCTTAAGCCGAAATGACGAGGATTGAGAAGTCGAAGAATCTGCGCTCAGGTCAGGGACAGAGATCGAGATGAGTGGGGAATCTGCCGGTGCTTGAGCAGAGATGTAGCCGACAACGGGCAGAGAAGCGTTGAGGCAGCTCTAGTCTTGAGTGAAGTATGCAAGGATGCAACTCATCAAGATTCAGTGATTGGTGACTCACCACTGTGTCGTGGAAGGCTTCAACCGCGACTCAGAGAAATGCTGCCCGCGTGCAGGCCCGCCGCGCCTTCTGTACCTCTTGCGGCGACGGTTGCAAGCCGCGCACGGGAGCGGAATAAGCGTCAACCTGGCGCTCTTGGATCTGCGTCACGTGATGTGCTGCACGCGAGAACTTTTTTCGTCCAGATAGCCCGCATGAGGCACCTGCGGCGGGATAACACACTTCTCAGCTTCGAACCATTCATGATTCACGTTTCGCTCATACGTATGTCATGCTCATCAAGAGCAACCTCTTTAAGCTCGCCCTTATCAGCGATCTCTACCATCATAGCTGTTGCAGCCGAAGCTATCCTCGTCCTCCCTCTCAAGGGCTTGCACTCGAGCTCGTTGACCTTACGACCTGCCTGCTGTGCATACTGCCCTCACCATGCCTTCTGCCATCAGCTTCCTAGATGACGACCACCTCGGTTTTGGCAGATCTGCAAAGTCAGAACGCAGCTCTTTGAACGCTTCTACTCAGCCTGCTCATAGATCTGGCTATGACTCCGATGATACGCCAGACATCTCATCAGCCTTGCTCGGGCCTTCGACCTCTCGTTCATCCGATGAGTCTGGCAGAGGTAGCGGCAAGAACAAGCGCACCTCTGCTCCTGCCGTCGGCAACACAGTACAGGCCGACGACGACGATGAGGCTTTCATAGTCGCAGCGACTCAAAGGCACAATAGGAAAGCGGGAACAGAATTGGCGAAAGACGTGGCCAAGAGCAAGGGCAAGGGAAAGAACAAGACTGGGAGTGGGACCTTGACGGGCGGAGGAAGCTTTCAGAGCATGGGTGAGTGTGCATATGAGAGTGTTCATGATACCTCAAGCCACTGGGCTGGACTTGCAGAAAGAATCGTGTGGCACTGCATCAACAGCGACGCGCGGAGGTGCGGTGCTGACGCTTGGCCCTGCTCGTCGTCACATCACAGGTCTTCCTCCTCAGCTGCTCCGCTCCATTCTGCTGCGTGGCTACACCACACCTACGCCCATTCAACGCCTTGCTATCCCGTCCTTACTCGATACGCCAGCGCGCGACCTGGTGGGCATGGCTCGCACAGGAAGCGGAAAGACGCTCGCATACATACTGCCTCTCTTGAACCGGCTGGGAGGCAAGCACAGCACGACAGTCGGCATTCGCTCCCTCGTACTATGTCCCTCACGTGAGCTAGCTTTGCAAATCCTTAGGGTGGGGAAGGAGATTGCTCGAGGTTGGAAAGTGCCAGATTCCGAACCTCTTCGGTGGGCACTGATAGTCGGTGGTGAAGGGATGGAAGAGCAGTTCGCTCTCATGGCGTCCAACCCGGATGTGGTCATTGCCACACCTGGCAGACTGCTGCATCTAGCAGTGGAGGCGAAGCTCAACTTCAGCTCGGTGCAGTTTGTGGTCTTCGACGAGGCCGATCGCCTGTTCGAGATGGGCTTTGCGGATCAACTGGAGGAGCTCATCAAGCGCATGCCACCTACTCGGCAGACTGCTCTCTTCAGCGCGACTCTGCCCAAGACGCTGGTCGAGTTTGCTAGAGCTGGTCTGGCTGCGAATCCGAAGCTGGTCAGACTGGATGCGGATAGCAAGATCAGTCAAGATCTTCGTATGGCCTTCTTCAGCGTCAAGCCGTCGGAGAAGGAGGCTGCACTGCTTGTGCTTCTTCGAGATGTCATTGGCGTGCCTCAAGGCTTGTCAGGTAGCGCATCGTCTTGGTCGAAGGAAGGCAAAGGAAAACGACGAGCTGCTCCGCTTATAGGCACGGACGAGCTGCAGCCCCATCAGACCATCATCTTTTGCGCCACCAAACATCACGTCGAGTACCTTCTCGCCTTGCTGGGCACCGCCGGCTGGAGTTGCGCACACATCTATAGCTCTTTGGACCAAGCCGCGCGCACGCAAGAGATGATCCGCTTCCGAACAGGAGACGCATCCCTACTCATCGTCACCGACGTGGCTGCCAGAGGTATCGATCTGCCGTCCATGACGCATGTGGTCAACTACGATCTTCCTGCTTCCCCAAGGATTTTCATACATCGAGTCGGCAGGACTGCTAGAGCCGGGAGATCGGGTTGGGCTTGGTCACTGGTAGGCGGAACAGATCTTCCGTACCTCTGCGACTTGCAGCTATTCTTAGCAAGGCCTCTGGTGAGAGCTTCGGATTTGGGCAGCAAGCCGGAGCTGGATCTACACAACAATCTTCAGCTTGGAACGTTTCCCCGATCAGCTATAGATATAGAATCCGAGCACATTATGCAAGGTCTGCACAACAGCAGCTCTAGCGCCTCGGTAGCTTTGCCTTCCCTCAAAACGGTGGTCGGCAGAGCTCAGAAGCTTTACGACCGCTCCGCTAGCAAAGCTTCGCAGGAATCTCATCGGCGCGCCAAGGCTATGCTAAAGGGGGACGATGAATGGTGCTTGGCTGGTAATGCGAAGGAAGAGCTTGGAGTGCATGACGTGGTCGTCAGGCCTTCAGCCTATGGTCTTGCTGGGGCAGGAACAAGTGGCCTGTCCGCACATCGTGGCAACGACGGATCGAATGACCTAGCGGCGCAACGCGCTGCGCTCCTCGCCAAAGTCAATAGTTTCACTCCGCAGAACACGGTCTTCGAAGTCGGCACCAAGGGTCCAAATCCACTATCAGACCTGATGAGAGACAGAAGAGCTACTTTGGATGCGAAGCGAGCGCGAGCGGCTGCCAGAGACGCAATTCAAGAACCTGCGCAGTCAGATGGAGAGAATAGTGAAACGGAGGCCGGCGATCTTGGGGCACTAGATGAAATGTCTCAGGCTGGAGAGAGTGACATCGAGGTAAGTTGTGTCGTGCGCAAGCTGTGGTACCTGAGCTACCGAGCTGATCCTCGGTATCTTGGAGCGCAGGATGTCTTTGATGTGGCGGACAAGTCCATTAGCAAGAAAGGCGCACCGAAGAGGAAGAAGTCCGCACCAGCGTCGCGAAGCTATCGTGATCCCGAGTACTTCATGGCGTATGAGCATGCGGATGCTGCCAATGAAAGAGGGTGAGGATACGTCGTTGTGGCAACGCGTTCATGGGGTCACAGCTGACCATTTCGCCGCATGCAAACCGGCGTTCAGGTACTCGATGGGCCATACAGACTCGTTCGCAACTCAGGCCTCGAAGGCCTCTTACTCTTTGGCAGGCGACGAAGCGCGTCTTGGCACACAGACTCAAGCGCCAAATGCATCTCGCTGGGACGTGAAGAAGAAACGCTTCACAAAGGGAGACGGTACGGGCGAGAACAACGAAAAGTACATTCGAACGGAATCTGGAACTCGACTACCGGCTTCTTTCCAGAGTGGAAGGTACGAAGAGTGGAAGAAGAGCAACAAGGTCAATGTGCAGAAGGTCGGAGAGAGAGAGGACAAGAAGTCCAGCTCTGCTGCGCTGGCTGCTGCTGGTCGAGGCAGAGGTGGCAGCGCTCGGGGTGGTAGAGGAGGAGGAGAAGGCAGAACGTTCAGACATCACAGCTCCAAGGAAGCCAGGGAGCCAGACAGATTCAGGGACGACTATCAGAAACAACTCAAACGCAAGAGGGGAAGGGAAGCGGGCGATGGTGGTCATGATGGTGAAGGTGGATTCCCGACCAGGGCACGAGGCAGTGCGAGGGGGGCGAGAGGATGGAGAGGAGCAAGGGGAGGCAGAGGTAGAGGAGGCTTGTCTCGTGCGGATTCCAGGGTGGCTAGCAGTCTGAAAAGCGCCGCTCAAATTCAGAAGTCCCGACAATTGGAAGCAAAGAAGAAGGCCAAGAATGCGCGAGGCGGACGTGGTGGGGGCAAGAAGAGAGGCGGAAGGAGATGAGAGCGATTCAGCGAGCACGTTCTGCATTCATCTTCGTCATCAATGTAATTGCAGCTTTTGGGATCGCATCGCGAAGCAGTCGTCGTCACGGTCACTAAATCTTGATGAAGAGGACGAATCTCTGCGTCCGCGAACGATTCAGGACTAGTCTTCGTGGGACATAGACCGGTGGCCTTTGCAAGTCCGACAAGAGGAGCTCGGAATTCTTCGTCGGAAGCACTCGACTGCGCACTCATCATGCGCGCTCGACATAATCGCTGCAATCGTCCAAGGCTTTCACACTCCGAATGGTCGGTGGCGGTGCATGATCACCCTTGAGGGACGTTCTGTCATCATCGATTCCCATGAACAATACCCCTCCTCTACATTGTCCGCCCTATGTAGTATAGTTCACAGAGCAAGCAATCATCTAGAACCTCATCTCTAGTCCGATCTGACCTTCGTCTGGCAAAACCAGCAGACGATCCCTTCCTCATAGCTCACTTGTGATCACGTGTAGAGAGCGGCCAAACACGACTGCGGCCTCTTTTGATCGAGGCAGTTGATAAAGTGAGGTACAAATGGAGGTTTATTTGAATTCACATTGATTGCTGTGCGCAACGTTCGAGGCCACGTGGATACTTGCTTGACGAGGAATGCTGAGCCCGGTTCGTGCGCGCTGCTATAATTGATGCTGGTCGTTGAGCGCAACCAAATGCTTGCGTGTGCGCGCGCCAGCACTTTACGAGATATATACATCTCGGTTGAGAGATTCGGCAATCTCAAGCTCTTACCACATCCTTTCGAAGCTCGTCACTACTAGAGCTCGTCGCCACACTCAAAACTGTGTCACAACTACGATCTTGACCCCATTGGCGCCATCAAGATGTCGACGGCACGCTCGGCTCCTGTGCCTCGCGCTGTGCCAAAACCTGACGTCAACGCTATTAACGTTCCCATTCGCGTGCGAACCTTCTTCGCGGAAGGTGAGAAATCAGCTCAAGGCAACGCTACTGCTCTTCGCCAATTGGCCTACATGAAGAGCGAATATCGCAAGCTGTATGCATTCAAGAAGGCCTCAAAGCTCGCTCACCAAAAGGAGCTTCAAAAAGTTTACAACCAAGCTGTGAGTACTGTCGCGCCTATGCTCTACAGGGATGATGTGGTTCATTGTCAAGATGTGTTC